AGGCTGGTCTTGAACTCCCAACCTCAGCTGATCCACTGCCTGTAATCCCAACACTTTGGGATTAGAGTGTTGGATTACAGGCGTGAGCCACCGAACCTGGTCTGGGCTTCTACTATTCACCCCTGGGAATCCAACCACACTGCCCACAGGCCGCTTGCTCTTGTTAAACCCACCTTTCCTCCAAACCTTTTTAAGTCCTCCTTGTTGGACAACCCAGATTTAGAACCCCAGTGAGCCTAAATCTGTTGAGTCCATATGGACTCAACACACCAATACTCTCTCAACCAGTTTATCCAGCCAGGTATGCTCATATAACTTAGGGCTCCATCTTATGTTTGCATCTGAATATGCCTTCATTTTCTTTTGTGCTGAATGACATACAATGATTTGAATGTTTTAAGTATTTCCCCTTCTCTGAGCAACAAGGCAGAAACGAAGGGTTTGCACTTATCACATCCATGGCCAAGAAATTGAACTTCAGTTTCTTTACCTGTAAAGGATAATACCTTTCCTTCCTTCCTTACCCCTCACAAAGCTGTGAGGTTCAGTGAAGGCAATATATAAGAAAGGATTTTGCAAATGACAGCTACTACTTCAACACAACATTTTACGATTTTTTACTATTTTAGGCTGGCACAGTGGCTCATGCCTGTAGTCCCAGCACTTTGAGAGGCCAAGGCAGGTAGATCACCTGAGGTCAGGAGTTCAAGACCAGCCTGCCCAAGATGGTGAAATCCTGTCTCTACTAAAAATACAAAAATCAGCCAGAAGTAGTGGCTGAGGCCTGTAGTCCCAGCTATTCTGGGAGAATCACTTGAACCCAGGAGGTAGTGGTTGCAGTGAGCCAAGATCACACCACTGCACTCCAGCCCGGGCACAGAGTGAGACTCTCTCAAAAAAAAAAATTTTTTTTAAGAAAGCTTTACTATTTCCAAGATATGCCACCAAAGGTAGGGTTTCTCTAACTCCCACAAATAAACATGTGTGCCTTTGGATCAATCATCCTCTCCTCACTCATTTGCTGAAATGATTTACTTTTTGGAGTCCTACACACAGAGAAAACATTCACATGCTATTTGGGAACACTCCTTTTCTCTCCAACTTCACGTGTTCATCAGTGGGAGTCAGAGAGACTGTAAATATTGTCACCTGACTTGGCTTTAGAGGGAGAAAAAAAGATGCCCCTGTGTGGCCGGCACAGATCCGGGTTTATATTTGTTGTCCTAGACCAATGATGTATAATCCACCCTCCTCCCCTCACTCTCAAGCTCTCCAGTTTGATCAACAACTCACATGCTCACCCCAGCTGCTTTAAGGTGAAGAAGGCTAGGTTAAATACCTATGACACAAAACAAGGTGCCATATAGTTACCAAACTTCCACCCAGCAACACCCTTTTAAAAGAGCACATCCCTGACCAGACCGGAATAGAAAGGGTCCTTACCTGCCAACTCTTGAAAACTGTCGCCACCTCGTGGTCACAAGCTGCTCTTCTGATAGCACTGGACGGGATCCTTTGACCTTGCAGAAATGGACACAGAAGATGCAGCATTAGAGGGGTGAAGAATATGCATCTCATGAACATACACTTCTGTGTTTGCTGATTAAAGAAAATGGCCACTTTCAGGAGATGCTCATTAGGCAGGCAGAAGGCCTCTTTTATAATATTTTAAACTCTCAGATTGAAACAAAAAGACTGCAGGCTAAAATGTTATTTTGATATAAGTTCTACTTTATCTCGAAATAATGTTTAATTGATTCAACACAGTGGGACTGGAGGCACTTAATTTTTAAAAAATCCACCAACAAATGTTCAATTCTTGTCTGGGATCAGGCCACTGAGGGAAGGAAGACTTCTCTGTAAGAGTTTGTCTGGGAAGGGGGCTGTGTTCAAAGAACACTTCCCTGAGAAAGTGATTTGTGAGCTTAAGTTGAAAGAAGGACTGGAAGAAAAGGAGAGAGAAGGCAAGTGTTTGAGTGAGGGGCGTGTCCAGTGGAAGGATCCAGTGAGCAGGGCTGGGATGTCTGAGGATGGCATGTATGCATAACTGAGGGATGATTCCATGGCCATGAGCGTATAGAGTAAGACGATGAGACGCTGCTGGGGAGACTGCAAATGCAGACATGCAGCGTGTCACTGGCACACTGAAGATTTTCCACCTTTTTTCTAGAAGCAATGGGAACCTATTCACATGTTGTAAGCAAGAAGACAAATTTGAGTTGTGAAAAGCTCATTCTTGTTAACAGTAAGAGAAAATATGGGCCAGGTATGGTGGCTCACACCTGTAATCCCAGCACTTTGGGAGGCTGAGATGGGCGGATGGCGAGGTCAAGGGATTGAGACCATCCTGGCCTACATGATGAAACCCTATCTCTACCAAAATTATAAAAATTAGCTGGACGTGGTGGCGTGAGCCTGTGGTCTCAGCTACTGAGGAGGCTGAGGCAGTAGAATCGCTGGAACCCGGGAGGTGGAGGTTGCAGTGAGCTGAGATCCCGCCACTGCACTCCAGCCTGGGGACAGAGGGAGACTCCATATATATATACGTATATATATATAAAGAAAGAAAGGAAAAGAAAATACAAAAGATGGGCTGTAGTTATTTGAAACGGCCACTACTGCAGTGGCCCAAGTGAGCATTATCATAGCAGGGATAACCACTATATGCTGGGCACACTTCTAAACGCTTTGGGTATAAACTCATTTCCTCCATTACAAAAGCCCTCTGAGAGAGGTACTACTATTCATACCCATTTTACAGGTGAAAAAGGAGGCACACAGAAGTCTAATTTCACAGACCACAATTTATGTCTAATTTTATGACCACTACATTGCATTGCCTACAGACAGTAATAAAAAATGGAAGAAAGTATATGGTTTCAAGAGCTACTGCAGAAGAAAAATCGACAAGATTTGCTGATGTGTTGGATATAGAATATCAGAGTATCAAGAATGATACCCAGGTTGCCAGCTGCAAACTTAAATGCTGAAATCATCCTTCATTTCTCCTCCTTCGCAATCTAATCTCAAGTCCTATTGATTCTTCATATCCTCAAATTTTCCACAGTCATCGCTCCTTTCCAGTCTGCCATTAGTTTTTTCTTGCTTGGGTCAGTTAAAAGACAACCTGTTTCCATTGTGCCTTCAATCAGTCTTCCTCTCTGCAGTTAGCACGAGCTCAGCCATCTGCCTCTAGTCCAGGTGGCTGGAAGATCAGTCGACTACTCAGCGTATGTTAAATAAGCACATCTTTGCTCTCTCAATTTAAAACATGTTAGTTAGTACTCTCTGTCTCATATGACATGGACTTCAAAGCCTTTTCCACTGCACACAGTCTTTTTGTGATCTAGAATATGCATGTCTAGTGTCAAAACAGCGAAAACCCCCACCCCCGCCTCCGACACTTGCATTCTCTACTTCAGGAATGACTAACTATAGTTCTCCAAGCGAGGCACCTTCCTGTGACACTGCCTGTGCACATTCTTTTATCTAGAATCCTCATCCACTACTTGGAAAACTCCTACTCCTTTCTTTTTGAGATGGAGTCCTGCTCTGTCACCCAGGCTGGAATGCAGTGGCATGCTCTCCACCCACTGCAACCTCCTCTTCCCAGTTTCAAGCAATTTTCCTGCCTCAGCTTCCCATGTTGCTGGGATTACAGGCGCCCACCACCATGCCCAGCTAACTTTTTGTATTTTTTAGTAGAGATGGGATTTCACCATGGTGACCAGGCTGGTTTCGAACTCCTGACCTCAGGAGATCCGCCCACCTTGGCCTCTCAAAGTGCGGGGATTACAGGCATGAGCCACTGTTCCTGTCCTCCTTTAAGATTCTTAGTGAAGCTTTTGTTGTCCTTCCCTTTTTCCTCCTCTAATCCCCACAAACTTCTTTGTAAACAGCATCATTCTTACGATTCAAATGAAGTACTTACACATGACAGACTAATGCACTTGTAGACATCCCCAGGGGATGGGGGCCAGGATGAGGAAAGAGCACTCTCACAGCTCTCCCAGAACATTACTCTTCCATTTTCAGGAAGCTCCCTCTCCTTTTAAGGACATCCCAGACCTTAAGATCAGTCTTCCAACTCCCTGACATGGCCCCCAAAAGTCATGGTTATCTTTTCCATTCCAACTGCAGCCATCATGTGCAAAGTATTAGCTGCCATTCTGAGGTTCACATAATACACTAAAATGAGTCACTGTTCTGAGATTCCCCTTTTCTATGGCTGTCTTTAGTGTCATTGCTCAGAACTACTTCACCTAGTCTCCATCCCCAACTTCCTATACTACACGTCACATTCATTTTATCTTCAATCCCTATCCCTTCCCTTTCACCCAGTTTACCAGTGCTGTACTGATCCGACTTCTCTCAAGACCCAGCCCAAATTCCAGGGCCAATCTCCAGCCATCTCTAATGACCTTGTCTTTCAGACACACCTGCCTTGCAAAATCCAACCCTAGCACCAATCCACTTTTTCCCATCCTACATTCTTGGCAGCTGAGCACTGGAGAAGTCACAACATGCCCCCAGCCAATGAAATTCATGGCTTTCTGTCTCAACTGCATTCTCAAAGAAATTCCTCACTCTTTTCACTTGGCTTTGATCAGATTCCTCCATCTTCCTGGTTGTTAATACTAACAAAAATGTGAAACATGATCTATGGCAAACAGGTTAACAGAACAACCTTGAGGGTGCTGAATATCACATGGGAAGAAAACAGAAGGTTAAATAAGGTAAATTTAATAACATAGCTCTAACGCTATCTATATCTCTATATATAGCGCTATCTATATCTCTGTATCTCTATAGAGATATAGATATAGATGTCCTAAGTCATTTACTTTCATGGCACTAAGAAATATTATTTCTTCTAGATTTTTAGAGTTTGAAAAATAAGGGGAAGTGTGGACCATTAGTAAGAATGGCTGCTTTCAAATCCCTTCACATCCAAGGCACTCTTTATACTTTCTATCCTTTATCAATGACAGACACACAACTTTTGTTTGTTTTCATTTTAATTTATTCTGTGTTGTTTAAAGTGAAAGTTAAAACATCATACAAACCACAGAAGCTTTAGAGTACTGACCGGTTTTAAAACAGTGATTGATCATTTACACATATTCCTCATCTTTAATTTTACATCTAAAGGTACTATTAAAACACAGAATTCTAAATCTTTATAAACCTATTTGTCAAGCAGCAAGATGGCAATGCCTCATAGCAGAGCACACAATATTTCCTATAAGGAACCACAGCAGCAGTATTTGGTGAATGGTTATGCATAGAACCAACTTGGAGGATCATGTTAAACATTCCCCATGAAACAGGCAGCACACGTACACTAACAAATGAACAATGTAGCTTTATTTGATATAAGATAAAATGTTACTCTTTACACTTTAAAACTATAGGGCACTTTAGAAGCAGACAATACAAGGTGCATTAGTTCTAACCTGCACAACAGAATACTATTCCATTAGTCGCTTGAGCGTCCATAACCTTTGAGGACTACTCAATGGCTTTTTAAAGTCAACCTCAAATATAAAAGCACTTAAAGTTTACCAGGAAAAACCTAGTTACACCTTACATTAAAACATAGTATTTGAGAAAACTGAATTTTAAAAAAGACTGCATCATTGTTCAAAATTCGTTATTCAAAATTTTACTTTGAAGAGCAACAACTTTGTTGCTCTTTCAAATCTTTCAATACGTTTTAAGATCTTATATTCCAAACTTTCAGCAAAATAAAATTAAAATGAGCTTTCAACTGAATATCTAAAGAAATGGGTCTGCATGTCTGTGAAGTGTCTGTCTACCACAGAGCAATATATTTGTTTCAACTATGAAAATATCACTACAAAATCTATCAAGTGAATTTTATATTCATTTTGATGGAAATATCAAAAACCTCGTTTAACAGCACTACACAAATATTTAGTATTTTTGGCATTTAAATCAGAGCAACGCAACCAATGCAATTGGTACAGGCAATTTTCACAGAAAGTTTCAAAGGCAAAACATTTGGAAATGAATGGCTGGTTGGGAAGGAAACAAAACAACCTACCAGTCCTCAATGTTAGAATTAATCTTCGAAAGATGGCATGCTGATCACCATCATCCTTTGTGAGAGTTTAGACAAGACTCTAATACATGTATGTGTTTTTAATGCTCATAAACTGTTAAGCTCTAAAATTAATCACAGGATAGTTCACCTCCCACTGAGACTGGAAATGTAGTTGTGATGCAATTCTGGTAAGTTTGCTACAAAAGCACTGAACAGGAAAAGGAAAAGAAACACTATACCATGTAAATAATTCTGTGTAACTATTTATCTTGCCTCTTTTAGTGGCATTAAGAAATATGTACCATGGTAAGTGTGTTGTGAAGTACACAAAGAGAAAAAAGTTCTAAACAAAGGATTTGTTTGTAGATCTTCATATTGGTATCAGTGATGTTTCTTTACCCTCCCTAAGTGACAGTCTAGGAGCTAATTAGTATGCTTTTAGGTATATCTCACAAGTTAAATATTTCCTAAAATTACCTAAGACATGCTTGAAGCATAAATGTCAATAAGTAATGCCAACATACATATCTCTACAAAGATTAACCTGTATTAATTTGGGCATGACTCTTCTAGATTTTGTGGGGAAGAGCTACATCAGCCATCATTTTTCTCTTAAATGAGACAGACTCTCCCTCTGTCGCCAAGTTGGGATACAGTGGTGTGATCTCAGCTCACTGTGATCTCCACCTCCTGGGTTTAAGTGATTCTCCTGCCTCGGCCTCCTAAGTAGCTAGGACTACAGGTTTGCACCACCATACCCGGCTAATTTTTTGTATTTTAGTAGAGAAGAGGTTTCACCATGTTAGTCAGGCTGATCTCAATCTCCTGACCTCGTGATGCACCCGCCTTGGCCTCCCAGAGTGCTGGGATTACAGGCGTGAGCCACCACGCCCAACCAGCCATCATTCTTTAATATTGACACAAGAAGCAGCTCACTAGCTACTTTAAGTTTTTCAGCGACTATTATCTAACCTTAGGTAGCCACCATAAAACAGAATCCATAGTTCAAAACATTAGACTATGAAAAATCTAATTTAAATATCGTCCCAGTACCAAGAAGTTTTGGGGGCATTTTTTTTTCTATTTTAAGATGATATTTAGCTATTAGGAAGCATTAAAATTCATGCTTGAAACTGTCACTGTTTTGTTATGCCCTAGAGTCACATAAAAATAGAAATGTCTATCTAATAAAGAAATGAAGACAGAAAGACTATGCCTCCTTCTCAGCTGCTAGGAAATCTTCCCCTAGCAAATAAATAAAACTAAAGTTATGTCCTGTGAATTCCCTTTTAGTATCTCCAAAAGCTACAATATAGCAAAGAGGTGTTCATCACAAACACAACTTGGGACAGAGCCAGTGAACTGTTAAAACTCTAAGCAAGAAGTATGAGGTATCAAACATAACAACACACCACCATAAAATGGAGGTTGAATAGATATCTTGTGATGACTAGTCCTTAATAAAGGTTTTAAAAAAACATAAAAAGAACTTAGATTAATATAGTAAGTTGGCTTTGCATTTCATTCTTGTTACAAAGCAGGTAACACTAAACAGGAAGTTTCTTTTTAAGTCCTCTCTCTCCTCCCTGGTAAACACTCAGTCCAGAGTTCAGTTAAGACAAACATAGAAACCTGGCAAGAGAGACATTTTACAGCCAAGCGGGTAATTTCACCCACTACTGTTTTCCTCAATACCCATTACCTTTGAGGTCTTGTCACTGAATTATTATTTGTGAAGAAGTGTTTCTCTCCATAACACGTTCCTTGAGTATAAAATCCTTCTATACAAAGGGAGTAACTAATCCCATTCTTCCTAAAGTAGAAGATAGTTCTTAGATTCCTAAGTTACCGCTCTAAAATCTTGAATAGGTTACCCCCTACCCAAAATAAAATGTGTTTCACACAGGATAACAATTTTAACATTATGAGTCAGAATCAAATTCCCCAATAAATAACTGCTATCTTAAAAAGAAAAAATAAATTTACAAGCTACAATTTTTAATTTAACCTAAAATACTACCAATTGTTAAGATGCACCATATGTATCACTAATAAAATACACTGCCCATTAAACTATGACACAATGCTTTCTTATCACAGAAAATGTTTTTTATATTTATTGAAACAGCACTTTGAGTTAAACAGATTTTTATCGTATCAATCTTGCACATATGTAAAAAAAATGTGGGAAACAAATTGGTTAAGTAATAATTATAACTTCATATTCTGAATCCAACTCTTCTGAATCAGTTTTCAAACCACAGTTATTGAAGTCTCCATTTTTTCACATAACGACACCCCAGTCTTGTCAAGAGTACTGGTTATACAGCACTTCTTGAAAGAGTGCTCCAACACTGTCTTCTGTTTAATAGCAGCAGGGAGCTTGGGGCAAAACGATGTTTGATGCCTTAACGACAGTCCTGCTCGATGCATGAGTCGGTCACACAAGCCTCTTGCGGCTCTGAATTTTGTTTCATCAATTCCCAGGGTTTTGGCAATTTCTCCTGCCTTCAATTGAATTGCTTGGTTTGTGATAGGCAATCCTTTTGCATGTGTCTCACTAATAAAATGTAGTACAGCTTCGTCTACTTGTGGGTATCTACCTTTCTTAGGTCCTGTAAAACATTTTGTTGTTGCTTTGCAGGAAGATATGGAATTTCGATCATTTCTCCAGTGATGAATATTTGCATCACTGATATCAAATGTACGCCCCGCTGCTCTGTTTCCATGCTTTTATGCATACACAATAACTTTTCATTGCTGTAATCTTTTTGAAGACATTTTAAAATGTCTATTAAATCTGACACATTTGATTCCAACAATACACATGTTGGTTAAAGGGATTACACGTTGACAAGCTGTAAATTTGCACACGTACAAGGTAGGAGAATTACATGACTATCACCTGGTTGGCAGTAATGAGAAGCATCCCAATTTCTGACAAGTTAAACTGGGGAGAAAAATGAACATTTTAGGGCTAATAAAATATGGTTTTTCAAGCCTTTAATGTTTACCAATCTGCACCAGTGTGAGAAAATAAGCCCAAAAGCCAAGGAATAAGTGTCTAAGTAGAAAGCTAGTGAAACAAAAGATTTATCCTTAAGATGAAATTTATAATAGTCCAATTTGGTTTTAATTCCCTTTATTTTTATATGGCTTACATTTTATATGGCATACTTAAAATCCAATACAAATGTTCTTCAGTCATTAGTAAATTTCAAAGCCAAGTCACTAAGAGACAGAAGCTGGCAACTGCCTTTCATCCTTCACGAGTACAGAACTATGTCTGGGGTGAGTGGCCTTCGTCAGCAGGTGCCCTCCTTTGGCGAGTAGATCTGATTCTGTATGGAGAGGAGGAAGTGTCTTCTTCAGTTTCAGACCCTGAAGGTTCATGATCTCCCTCTTGGGATCCTGTGTCTCCCACCAGTTCCCGGAGAAACTTGAATTTTGATAAAAAAAGATGCCATACAAAATACCAACCTATAGAGAAAGACAAAAACATTAAGAAAAGTTATTACACAATGTTATCAATTCAGAACCTTATTGTAAATGGGGTGCATGTTACAAAATAGTATATAAAAATATACATAATTACAAATATATATTGATATAACAAACATTTTTTTGTACGAGGAATAAAGATAAACTCTGGGATTGCAGAGATGGTAAAAAACAGTCTCCACCCTCGTAGAATTTAGAATCCAGGCTGAGGCCATCTACAGTAAAATCATAATGAGTTTATGATATCTAAGTAAAAGTATTACTTTTATTAAAACTGAATTTTTGAGAGCATTTTTCTGGGAAAGAAAGAATAGACTTTGCCATTTACTCGGACTTTCGTATCAGTGCTGTTTATTTACTAAAAGCAAGTTTGTTTCAATCGGAATGCACAAGAACTTAAACAGCAGGATTTAACTGCACCACGGTGAAAACTACTCAGTCAGGACCAAGCTATTCATAAGTTTCTGGAAATAATTTTCAAAGAAAATATATTTTCCTAAATTATATAACGAAAGACTAAAGCCACAGCACTGTTTAAAACACAGATTTTTAAAATACAATATTTTCATGTCAAAGTCATTAAAAAGTATGACTAATTCTCTTTTAACAAAAAAAAAAGTTTTGTTTTAGAAGGAGTATTAAGTAAGGTTTTTAAATGCTCGCTAATAAGAAATAAACATTAAGCAATAAAGGAAAACACAGGAGAAAAATCTCTGAACCTACGCTTGGTTGTTCTGAAATGTTAAGAGCATAAAATAAACTAACCATTGTAACTAGATCTTTCATGCTAACGTGTTTTCTTGATGCTGTCTACTTTAAAGACTCCAGTTGCATAGAATAGAAATGAAACACGGCATATTTTGTGAAAACAAAATACAACCAGCTTTTCTTGCCCAGTTTAAATCCAGACTAGATAAATGGCTACGTAAGGGGAGTTTCTAATTTTTTTTCTTACAATCTCTGGGGAAAAAAATTATTACAAACCCCTTGACACTAAAGACAAACTTCAGAGATTTAATCCATTTCTCAAGTTTTGCTTTAATCTTGAGTGCTGAGAACTACCTGAACCAAAACATAAATATTTTTTGGTCAACTGTGTGTTTGAGTAAAGCGCCCAACTTTGTAATATATTATTTTAATGATTTCCAAATTAGCATCTTCTCTCTTCACCCAAAACAGGCACGGCAAATTAGTGGAAAGAACCCAGAGAAAGGAGTCAGTAGTTCCAGTTCTGACAGAAGATTCACAAAGCTATAGTGAAGAATGAATGAGAAGGTAACAAAAGGACTTAGGTGCCTGGCATTAAGCATTTTCTAAAATGCTCAATTGTTGTCAGTTGTGGTTGTCCTTAGGCAGTGAGGTCTGAGGTCACTTCTGTTGGGTTTTTTAATTGAGATATATTCACATACCATAAAATTCATCCTTTTAAAGTATAGAATTCGGTGTTCGCAGCTTGTACAACCATCACCACTACTAAAGTCCAAAAACTAAAGTTTCATCAACCCCAAGAGAAACCTCATACCCATTAACAGCCACTCCCTATCCCTGCTCCCCCCAGCCCCTGGCAACCACTAATCTACTTTCTGTCTCTATGGATTTGCCTATTCTGAACATGCCATTTTAATGAAATCATACAATACGTGTCTGGTTTTTATTTTACTTTTTTTTAAATTTTTATTTTTTCCACCTGAATTTCACAGGACTGTGTCTGGTTTTTCAAACTCAGCCTGTTTTCAAGGTGTGTCCATTGTGCTGTATGCATCAGTACTTCATTTTTTTATGGTTGAATAATATTCCATTTTCCGTGTATTACATCCTGTTTAAGGACTCATCAACAGATAGATATTTAGAAGTTTCTACTTCTGGCTATTATAAGAAACAAAGTTGCCACTTTTTGGCTGCAATGAATACTTGGGTACAAGTTTCTCCATGTATCTATGTTTTCATTTATCTCTGGTATATACATCTAGAAGAGAATTGCTGGGTCATATGGTAACTGTGTGTTTAAACCCTTGTGAAACTGCAAAGTAGCTATAACACTTTACATTCCCACCTGCAATGTATGAGGTTCCAACTTCTCTACATACTCACCAACACTTTTTATTGTCCAGCTTTTTTTATTACAGTCATCCTAGCAGGCATGATGGTCTATCATGAAGCTTTGATTTGCATTTCCCTTGTGACTAAAGATGTTAAACATCTTTTCATGTTCTTATTAGCCATCTGTTATTTTCTTTGGAGAAACAGCTATTCATTTCTTTTTTAAAAAAATATATATTTTCATCGCATTTTAGATTCCAGGGTACATGTGAAGAACATGCAAGATTGTTGCATAGGTACATATATGGCAATGTGGTTTGCTGTCTCCATCCCCATCACCTATATCTAGCATTTCTCCTGATGTTATTCCTCTCCAACTCCCTACCCGTCACTGTCCCTCTTCTAGTCCCCCCGCAACAGACCTCAGTGTGTGATGCTCCCCTCTCTGTGTCCATGTGTTCTCACTGTTCAACACCCACCTATGAGTGAGAACATGCAGTGTTTGATTTTCTGTTCTGGTGTCAGTTTGCTGAGAATGATGGTTTCCAGGTTCATCCATGTCCCTACAAAGGGCACAAACTCACCATTTTTTATGACTGCATAGTATTCCATGGTGTATATGTGCCACACTTTACCTGCCCAGTCTATCATCAATGGGCATTTGGGTTGGTTCCAAGTCTGCTATTGTAAACAGTGCTGCAATGAACATATGTGTGCATGAGTCCTTATAACAGAACAATTTATAATCCTTTGGATATATACCCAGTAATGGGATTGCTGGGTCAAATGGATTTTCTATTTCTAGGTCCCTGAGGAATCGCCACACTGTCTTCCACAACAGTTGAACTAATTTACACTCCCACCAACAGTGTAACAGTGTTCCTTTTTCTCCACATCCTCTCCAGCATCTGTTGTTTCCAGATTTTTTAATGATCGCCATTCTAACTGGTGTGAGATGGTATCTCAATGTAGTTTTGATTTGCATTTCTCTAATGACCAGTGATGATGAGCATTTTTTCATGTTTGTTGGCCTCATATATGTCTTCTTTTGAAAAGTGTCTTTTCATATCTTTTGCCTACTTTTGAATGGGTTTGTTTGTTTGTTTCTTATAAGTATGTTTTAGTTCTTTGTAGATTTTGGATATAAGTCCTTTGTCAGATGGGTAGATTGCAAAAATTTTTTCCCATTCTGTTTGTTGCTGGTTCACTCTAATGATTGTTTCTTTTGCTGTGCAGAAGCTCTGGAGTTTAATTAGGCCCCATTTGCCTATTTTGGCTATTCATTTCTTTTGCCCATTTTTAAAATTAAGTTGCTTTTTTTTTTATTATTGAGTTGTAAGAGTTCTTTGTATAGTCTACATATTAGATGCTTATCAGATATATGATTTGCAAATATTTTCTCCCATTCTGTGGGCCATCTTTTCACCGTCTTGAAAAAGTCCTTTGAAGCACTTCCTTAAAATTAAAACAAGTTTTTAATTTTAAGGAAGCCTAATGCATCATTTTTTCCTTTGTTTGCTTGTACTTTGAGTGGCATATCTAGGAACTCACTGACTAATCCAAAGTCATGAAGATTTATACCTATGTAGTTCTTCTAAGACTTCAATAGTTTCAGCTCTTAGATGTTAAGTCTTTAATCCACTTTTGTTAATTTTGGTGTAAGAGAGGGGTCAAAATTCATTCTTTTGCATGCGGAAATCAAGCTGTCCTAGAATCATTTGTTGAAAAGATTATTCTACCCTACCATTACATTGTCTTGGCACCGTTGTCAAAAACCAATTGACCATAAATGTTACAGTTTATTTCTGGACTCTCAATTCCACCCCATTACCTTTATACTAGTACCATACCATGTTGGTTACTGTAGTTGTATATTAAATTATAAATCAGGAAATGTGAATCGATCAATGTTCTTTTTCAAGATTGTTTTGACTACTCTGAGGCATTTTCATGTGAATTTTAGAATCATCTTGTTGATTTCAGTAAAAAAAAAAGGCAGCAAGAATTTTGATTTAATCTGTAGATCAATTTGGAGACCCATATTTTTTTGTTTGTTTGTTTTAATTTCTCTGTATTTAACCAAATTTTCCCACAATGAACACACATGGCTTTGGTAACTGGGATAAATAAGAAAGAAACTGGTAAGTAAATCATGAATACTATATAGACTTATATTTTGTAAATACCTCAATGCCATTAATTGGCTTAAATTAACAACGTTAGTTGACTTCAACAGATACTAAGGAAAACTTCTCAACTCTTAGGTTAGACTTGAAAATGTAACCCAAAAGGTAAAAGAACTCACTTGATCAGGGCATTATGCTAAACAGGTATTACAGTGGTAAACTTACTATTGGAGAATTATAATCTTGCTTAAAAAAAAAAAAAAAAAAAAGATGGTCTTGATCTCATTAAAACCAAAGATTCCAACAATGGCTACAATGTATAAAATGACCATAAAGAAGAGTGAGGAAGTCTTCTGACTGAAGAGACTATGATACAGGGCCTCCCCACTGGGGTTCCCACCATAAAGTACTACAGTGCTCTTGGGATGGTTAAGAGAAAGCCTCTCAGCACAGAAATCTACAAGGTAAGGAACTAAGGACAGGTGTAGATTTCAGAAGTTTGGGATATTAGAGCATTTCGCTAGATCACAGACTCTCTCTTCTCCAATTTTAGTAAAAGGAATCAAAGAAATTGTTTTGGTAATCGCTGCCAGCAACCAATGTAAAGAACTCAATTTCAAGTCAAAATTCAGAACCAGAATGCAGGGCCAATGAGAAAAACTCCAGAATTTGGAGAAGCAAGTTATGGCTACTATGTCCACTCACCACTCCCCTCCCCACCCTGGCCAACTGAATCACTCCAACTCCATATTGCTGTAATTTTTATCCTCAAATCTGGAGAGACGTAAGCTTGAACAGTGTGCATTTTTCTCT